TACATCAATAATTATCTATATTAGAATTAATAAAATATGATATATAATTATATATATATCATCATATAGATATATATATATATATATATCTAATATATAATCTATAACATCATTAGATAGGATATATATCTCATATAGGTATATATAATATATATATATATATATATATATATAATATCTCTATATATATTATGATGTAGATATATATATATATATATATATATATATATATGTATATCTATATATATGATGTATATATATAACTATGATGTCTATATATATTCTGATGTATATATATATATATGATGTGTATATAGCTATAATGATGTGTATATATATATATATGATGTGTATATCATATATATATGATGTATATATCTATATCTATGATGGGTATAGATATATATGATGTCTGTATATATATATATATATATATATATATACTCTATATATCTCATACTATACATATGATTATATATAATGATTACATATAATATATCTATCTCTATATCATGCTATTTATATAGATATATATAGCTATATATATGATATATATCTGCTATATATATGATATATAGGAGTATGTGCTAAGATGCATGCTATAATGTGGGGGAAGTGAACATCGTGCATGCCAGATCTTTCTGAGGAGGATATATCTATGATATATAGATATGAAATTATATCGCGAGCATAGAGAGATAGTATCGAGATAGAGAGAGGATAGATATATCTCTCTATAATATATAGAGATGTGTAGATAGTTATATAGGATGATGTGTGATAGATAATATGATGTAATATATATGTATATATATATATATATATATATATATATAATGAGATAGATATCTATAGATGAAGGGTATACTATATATATAGATAGATAATAGAGATGAGTCTATCTATATATATATATATATATATGATGTATAGATAATATATATATATATATATATGCTGTATATAGATATATCATCTATATAGCGTGATGTATATATATATATATGATAATTATAGAGGAGGTAGATCTCTATATAGTAGAGATGCTGTAGATATATATAGATATATCTATATGATGTATATATCTAGACTATATATATCTATATATATGACGGTCTATATATATATCTATATATATGCATGGTATATCTATATATATTCTATCTATATATATACTGATGTATAGATGCTATATATATATGAAATGTATAGATGATCTATATCTATGCATGTATATCAATCTATCTACTATGATGTATCTATATATATAATGTCATATCATATATATATATATATTATACTAATAGTATCGGTCTATCATATCTATATCTCCTAATCTATATATATATATATATATGGAATGTATAGATATGTATGTCTCTATATATAGAGATCTATCGATATATCTATATATCATGCTACTATATAATATTAATATCATATATCTCTATATATCATATATATATATCTATCCTCTATATCTATATATCCTCTATATCTATCTCATATATATATCTATATGTCATATATATATCGTTATCATATATATATATACCTATCATTATATATATATATATATCTCTCTCTATATCTTATCGATCATATACTATCTCCTCTATACTAATATATCTATCTATATTCATATTATATATCTCTCTATATACGCTCTCTATCTATCTATATATGTATATCTACTATGGTATATATATTTATATATCTCTATCTATGGTATATCTATCTCATTATATATCTCTACTGGTATATCTATCTAGATATATATCATATATATATATCTAGCTATATATATTATTTACTATATCATCTCTCATATATGCTATCTCTATATCTCAGTATATATATATGGTATATATTATAGCTATATACAATACTCTTTCTGGGATATATATAATATATCTATCTTCTATATTAATCTATATATAGATATATGCCTCCTACTAGTCTCGCTATATATATATATCTATGATATATATATAGATATATCTATGGACTTATATATATATGATATTATATATACTATATTGATATATATCATCTACTATATCATTGATATATCATATATATCTCTGCTCCTATCTCTATATATATCTCTATATATCTAGCTCTATGCTATATCTTCAGCCTCTATGATAGATATATAGCTATATGATATATCTATCTCTAATGACTCTATATCTATACTATGCTCTCTATATCTCTCATATCTCTCTGATATATCACATATATTTCTGGCTCTCTATCTCTCTATGATTACTATATCTTATATATATATCTAATAGATCGCGATATATATAATATAGCTCTGATATATATATCGATATGATATATATCTCTATATCTGCTATCATATCTATCATATCTCTCTATGCTCTCTCTCTCATATCTATCTAGACTCTCTCTATATATATCTGCACTCTCTCTCTCTTCTGCATATATATATCGATCTGCTATCTTATATATATATGCTATATCTATATCTCTATGACTCTATCTTATATATATGATATATATATCTCTCTCTGCTCTATCTCTCACAAACTCAAATCTCTATATCTCTCGATATATCTATGATATCTCTACTCAATATTATGCTGTTTTTTATTATCACTATATATACTATATAGCATATCAGATATATATAGATGATTTCTATATATCTATATGATCCCTCTCTATATCTATGATCTATATCTCATATCTATCTGATATCATAATTCTATATATATGCTCTATCTATCTCTATATCTGCTCTATCATATCTCTAATATCGGATATATATATATATATATGCTATATACTTTCTCTATAATCATGATTATTATATATATCTCTCTCTCTATGCATATATCTCTGCTCATCTCAGATGAATACTCTCTCATCTAATCTATGATATATATATGCATCTATATCTCTCTCTCTGTATACTCTATATGCATCTTCCAACCCACAACACACTCTCTATCTCTACTACATATATCTATCTATATATATCTTGATGTATATATATATTAATCTGACTGTCTATATATCTGTATATATTCTTCTCTCTCTCTCTATCTACTATTATCTCTATATACTCTCTATCTCTATTCTTCTATGATGTATCTCTACCTATATCTCCAGTCGGATGTATCTCTCTCTATATATATATCTGCTGTATATCTCTCTATATAATATCTCTATGATGTCTATCTATACATATCTCTCTCTATAATATCATGACGTATATATATATAGATATATATAATGCGTATATCATATATATCCTATCTGCTATATGCTGTCTCTCTCTATCTCTCTCTACTACTATATAGACTGTATATCTATATCTCATATATATATATGCTATCTCTCTATATATTATCTCATATCATGATGTATATCTCTCTATCTATCTATCTGCCTGTACTATATATATAATCTATAGGATGTATATCTATATATATCATATATATGATGTCTATCTCTTTCTGTATATCGATATCTTCTCTCTATCATATTGTATACTATATATATGTATATATCTAATATATGGTTATATCTATCTCTACTATCCTCTATCTCTGTATCTCTTCTAGATCTATATATATAGAGAATATATATATATCTGTCTGTATACTCATCACTATTCTAGCTATATCTATATCTCATATATCTATCTGCTCTATTATATATCTATAATCCTTCTCTCTATGTCTCTCTCTCTCTATATCTTATATCTCTACTCTCTCTATAGATGTATATCATCTATGTATAATCTATAGATCTCTAAGGTCTCTATCTATCCCTATCTGATATGTATATCTATAGCTATATATGATCTATCTATATCTCATCATATCAAATATCTACTATGCCTCTACTCTTCTATATCTCTCTCACTGATATACTATATATCTATATATCTGCTATATGATCTATTCTTGATCTCTATCTATATCATATGATATCTCTATATATATAGAATTTGATATATATCTACTCTATCTGATATCTCTCTCTCTCTTCTGCTCATATACTATCTATCTCTTGATCTCTATCTATATATATGATCTCTCTCTATTATATCTCTCTATATATATATGATATATATCTCTAAATGATATCTCCTATCTATCTGCTCTAATTAGACTATCTCTGCATATCTATCTCTATCTATGATCTATATTCTCTATACTGATCTATCTCTCCATCTATCTCCATGATATCTCTATATCTATGCATATATTTTATTATATATGATCTCTATATATATATCTATAGGAGATTATATATCTCTATCCTGCTCTCTACTACTATATCTCTGAATATATATATTATAATGATATAATATCTATAGATATGATATATATCTATCTCTATCTCTGATATATACTCTCTCTCTATATATGATATCTTATCTATTATATCTATATATATATCTCTATAATTACTCTATAATATCTATATATCAGCTCTTATCTCTTCTATACTCTCTCTCTCATATATATATATCATCTCTTCTTCTTCTATCTCTCTGCTATCTCTCTAATCCTAATATCATCTCGTCATATATCTATGTATACCTCCCTCTCTCTCTTTACCCTATCTATATCTATATCTCTCTATCGAGCCTATATATATACATCTCTATATCATAATCTAGTCACTATACCTCCAGCCATCCATCCCTATATTTACATATATATATATATATATATACATATATTTACATATATATATACATATGTATACATATATATACATACATACACAGATAGTCCCCCAACTTATGAACATAATGGGGACTGAGAGGCTGTTCGTATATCCAAAGTCAGGTCTCCATTGCCTTTTTTCCCATTGTTTCATGCAGGTTATTTGGCCATGGCTGCTACGGTTTTGTAATGGAAGTATTTGGTTGGTAAGAATAATAAGAGGAGGTAAAAGGAAAGGAAACATGGCTAAAGTATGTAGGTACACTATAGATCTTCCTTTGCTTTCAGATACTCCAGTACAATGCAGTGGGTGGAAAGATGAATAGAGGATTAGCAGTTGGTTTGTCTTATAAATTACTTGCAAAGCCAGAAGATATAACTGCAGACAGCATGAGGCGGGCCCACATACTTGGCTGGTGCATTGAACTGGTAGGTCATGAAATCAAAAGTTATTTGGCTAAAGAAATAATTTTTATTTAGCATGAATTGTTACTTTCATTATGTAAAGGAATATTGCTGCTTGCTTTATTCCAGATATTATTCATATTTTTTTTTACTTAGGACAAAGTTGCTGCAATAGAATTTTTTATATTTTTTTCCCTCATTGATTGACACCCAGTTATTGTTGATTCAGTTTAGGTATCATCTGAATGAAAACATTTTGTAGTATCAGTCACAGTAGAATATACTTCTTTATATGCATATTTTACTAAAGAAGTTTTTTTCTTCCCTTAAGCTTCAGAGTTTCTTCCTGGTGGCTGATGATATCATTGATGGCAGTGAAATGCGGCGTGGAAGGCCTGCTTGGTACCGCAAAGATGACCTTGGTCTGAGTGCCTTTAATGATGCTATCCTTCTAGAGGCTGGGATTTATAAACTCTTACATCAGCATTTCCGTGATGAATCTTATTATGTTGATATTTTGGAGCTGTTCCATGAGGTTAGTCTATGTAATATAGAAAGAATGTTTGATTCCCTTATAATGATTGTTATGGTGATCTCAGATTGATGGAAGCTTGGAGATTGTCAAAATTATGTTTCGGGGGCAATTTTTATGTAGTTATTGTTTTGACATCCTTAGGCTCTTGACGATCACAAACTGAATTTATATATTACAGTATGAACTTGGTGAGTTGCAGCTCTCTGTAATACCCCAAAATTATTTTTATAGCTAATTTGTTCTTTGTAAATGTAAGTCATGTAATCTCTCTCTCTCTCTCTCTCTCTCTCTCTCTCTCTCTCTCTCTCTCTCTCTCTCTCTCTCTCTCTCTCTCTCTCTCTCTCTTACCTCTCTCTCTCTCTTA